GATGACTGCATGTAAATAAGCACTATCGCTGCTCTTCCTCACAGAGGGAGAAGGAGGAGGAACGCCTGTGTGTCCGGCCAAGAAGGAATACAGAGATGACCCTTTCCATCAGGTCTGTAAATGCTCTCACACTTGGAATTTGAGGATTTGTGGATTAAAGTACTTAAAACTTGAGTAACCAAACTTTTTCAATGACTGAGGGAGGTTATTCATACTCTATTGTATTTCACACAGGAGTAGAGGAATCTTGCTACTCTGTCTGTTTCCTATTCTTTAGACCAAATCATTACAATATCACAATTAGAAGAAAACAGTGAGCCAAGACATGTATAACAGTTATGACAAATTCATGGGAGGAAATGTCACATAAATATATGTCACTAGGATGACTTGAAGTTTAACAGGAATTTTGGTCACCCCACTTTTACCTCCACTTTTAGCAGTAATAAAGCAGACTAGTTTCACTAAATAGAGTAGAGAAGGTGAAGGTAGAAACAACTAGTCAATCATCCAAAACATCGGACGGTGCACAAAAGAGAAGACGATGGGTGGAGACGAGTGTCAGGGGTGATTTCTGACAAAAGGATGGCAGCAAGAGTGAAGGGGAAGGTTTACAAGGTGGTAGTGAGACCTGAGTACGATTATACAGGATTATATGAGAGGGATGCTCAGGCTGAGCAGTTTGGAGATGCGAAGAGGAGAGAGAGTGGATATATTGGAGAAAGGATGTCGAATATGGAGCTGTCACACAGAAGGGATAGAGAAAGAGAAGCTTTGTGGACATAGTGGAAGAGGACATACAGAGGAGGAAAATAGGGATGGGGTGGGATGATTTGAAGTAGTAGTAGTAGTTGCCGTGACGAGAGGTGTCAGTATTTAATGGTGTTTGGTTTCCCTGCAGGGTCACCTTCCCTGGCTGCACAGCTCCAACCCAGGCCTGGAAAGGGTGAGCGCCATCGTGTGGGAGGGAAACGAGTGCAAGAAAGCAGACATGTCTGTCCTGGAGATCAGCGGCATGATTATGAACAGAGTGAGTGACACTTTCCATACAAGCAAAAAACACTAACGAGGGCACCGTACTCATGTAGTTTGTATGTTTTCACAGGTGAATCTTTACACTCCTGGAATCGGTTACCAGGTCTTTGGGAACCTAGTTTCAGTAGCACTTGGGCTCACACCCTTTGCTTACAGGTAATCCATACTACACGTGTGGTCAGTATTTGAATAGTGATCCAACTGAAGTCTTTTGAACAGTGACAATCAGCTGTTATGAATGTTAAGACCAGGACAAAAGTAAATATCCAGAACATATCTGTGAATAATTTTATTTGAGAAAGCCAACTCGCCTACCTATGTGGTGATTTCCACAGCAACATTGTTACTGGTAGTAATTCTAACCACGATTATGCAAAACTGTTAAAATTCAGTTTGAATGATCATGTTAATGCCTGTGTGTTTAATATTGTTACATGTATCTGAAGGTATCATTTTTAAAAATATAGTAACTTAAGAATTTAAATGTGTGGATTTATTATTTTCCGACCTACGTCCTTCTTTCCTATGCAGACTGGCTCAGTACCGTGACTTGGATCAGTTGACCACTCTCTCAGCCAATGAGCTTCTGTCTGTGGCGCTGGGGTGTGGGTCTGGTTCAGATGTCCTGGTAATCACCATGGTAACGCTCAGCTTCCTGGTGCGCGTTTGCCTTATCTGGCTCTTCTTCTTCCTGCTCAGCGTAGCAGAGAGGACATACAAACAGGTGCACAGATAAAAGCTGTTATCTGCTGATCATTTGCAAGTCGGATAAACGGTCCCTGTACTTACAATCACGTCGATGTTTCAGAGACTTCTGTTTGCCAAACTTTTTGGTCACCTGACTTCGGCCCGCAGAGCGAGGAAGTCTGAGGTCCCACATTTTAGGCTGAAGAAAGTTCAGAACATCAAGATGTGGCTGTCGCTACGCTCCTACCTCAAGGTACAAAAGTAAAAGTCTTAAATGTACAACTGGAAAAAATTAAATGTTAAGTAAAGACACAAATGAAGAAACTGTTGCATTTGCAGAGACGGGGTCCTCAGCGTTCGGTGGATGTCATTGTATCGTCTGCTTTCCTGCTCACGTTGTCAGTCGTCTTCATCTGCTGTGCTCAGGTAACTTCTGAAGGCGTCAAATCAGCAAAATATAAAAGTTTTTTTTAAAGTTACAAAGTGGATAAATCATGGAGAGAAATGTTACAAAAAGTGTTGCTCTTGCCCTTTCAACTTTCTGCAGGTTTTTTTTGTTTTTGTTTTTGTTTTTTTAAATACTCAAGTCCCCTAAAATGAGAACCAGCCGATTCATTTATGTCCTCTGTGATGGACATTTGTTTTTGGTCTATATCCAGGGGTGCACATAAGGGGTCCGCAGGTGCGCATTCGCTGTCAAAATAAAAAACGCGCACAAGATAAGAAGTTGCAACGCACGTTTGCGTACATATAAAAGGCACTGTTTTTGTCAGCTAGAGTGGGATTTTCACGGCATATTCTGCACCACATCTCTGTGCGTTCATCATTTGTTTGAAGCCAGCTAACCTCCTGCAACCACTTTTCCAAGAATACGCGCTTCTTTTGCGGTTCGGACTCCTTCTGACATTTCTTTGGAGGTGGAGGAACACCAAAGTAATTGCTTAAAGGAACTTGCTTCTTCGACATCTTTAAGAGTTCTAAACAAATGTCTGTCCTCCTCCAGAAAATCGTATGTACGTAAACGCGCGTTGCAACTTCTTATCTGGCGCACGTCTTTTATTTTGACAGTGAATGCGCACCTGCAGACCACTTATGTGCACCCCTGTCTATCTTTTGACCAAGTCCTGATGTACTAAATAGAGGACATCGTGGGCTTTTCACTGATATCTCATGTGTTTGTATGGGCTCTTTTTGCTCCAAAGAGGCAGGAAATCACAAAAAGTTCAATGGGAAGATTCCTCTTTACACGGTTCTCAGAGTATATTAAATTGTCATTCTTCGGTTAGTTGTCTTTAATCTACATTTTTTTAAAACTCTAAACTACAGCTCATGGACTCACAGTGAACTGGGTACTAATTATTTCAACACTTCAAGGGGAAAAAAATCCCTTTTAACTGGGAATTTATGCTTCAGCAGGACACCTGCACTGTAGCTACGTCGTAATCACAAACCCCCCTGAAGCTCTACAGCGTAACCTGAAGCACACTTCCTGAGACTGAGACTATGTCTCATCAAAGCAGCTTGCAACTACTGTGCACCATCAAGTCTTGTAGAATCCTCTCGTCCATGGGAAGTCTGGACCCTCATGTGAACCTACGGGGGGAAAAAAACAGCCTGCATAAGCCTAATCACACTATAGCTACCCACCTGGTAGCTCATCAATATATATCATGTAGCCCAGTTTCACTAACCCACTAAACTTTGCTGCTATTTTACTGTTTGTTTGTTTTTTGGCACTGAAAGAATTAGTGTGTTTTAACTTTCAGTGGCACCGCCATGCTTGTTTGCACTTAGGAACTGAAGGAGTGTTTGACATCATCAGCTCTGTTTGTGTGTACAAAGTGATCAAGCAGATAGCACTGCAGGGTAATCCGGCCGTGCCAGTTATAGTCACTCTAAAGATGTTGTAATCAAAAAGATTTTATCTTTACCTGAAAAGCCGTGAGGCCTAAAGATGTTACATAACAGCTTTTTCCACATTAGCCAGTAAAACAAGTTTTTATTGGCTGCAGAGCCTAAACCTGCACATGATGAAGACGTGTCTTCCATGTGTGTTGCACAGTTTCTGCCACTAGGGGTCAGTCATACAGACAATTAGCAGAACACTCAGCTCTAGTAAAACTGATCTGTAAAACTGATAAAAAGCAAATATGTGAATGCATTGACCTTCAGAATAATTATTTTGGGACATTTACAGTACTTGTGCTGTAAAAAAGGGAAAATGAGTTGAAAGACACTGCAGCTTGTTACAAATGTGGCGTTTCATATAGATTTTAAAAAAAATGTAATTACAGTATTAGCAAGTCTGTGTTTTATTTTTGGTTTTAGAAACTGAACAGTGTGTTTATCTCTCTTCCTCCAGTTGCTCCATGTCCATGAAACGTTCCTGGACTGTCATTATAACTGGGAGCTGGTGATCTGGTGCTCCAGTCTGACTCTGTTCCTGCTCCGGTTCGTCACTCTGGGCTCTGAGACCAGCAAGAAGTATAGCAACACCTCCATCCTGCTCACTGAACAGGTACAAACACACACACAATATACAAGTATGATCAGTGTCGTGTCCAAACTCTGATCCTGACCCACTGCGTTTCTCACAGATTAACTTGTATCTGAAGATGGAGAAGAAGCCAAACAAGAAGGAGGAGCTGACACTGGTCAACAATGTTTTAAAACTGGCAACCAAACTACTCAAGGTACACACACTGTCTCAATATCCTTTCTTGTTGGTCGTCTGGCACCAACTGCCCCTGCTTTTACAATCTGACTCTTTTTTTTCTTTTTTTTTTCCTTTCCTTTTCTCCAGGAGTTGGATACTCCGTTCAGGTTGTACGGTTTGACGATGAACCCTCTGCTCTACAACATCACCCAGGTGGTCATCCTGTCTGCTGTGTCAGGAGTCATATCTGACCTGTTAGGATTTAACCTGAAGGTAATTTTATGCGTGAACGCTCTTTAGTCACATGTATCTGTTCATGTCTGTCCTGTGGTGGGAACCCCCCCCCCCAAGAAAACCCCTGTCCTTTGAGGAAGTAAAACAGTAAAGGTGCAAAACAGATAATGTGGACTGAAAATCCTTTTTTAGCACCAAAAATAAATTTTCAAGATTTGTTGGGTTAAAACATGTCATAATCTTGCAGTGTAAATCAAATCCCTGGAAGATGAGTTTGTGATGGAGAAGTACGTGTGCTGAATTCTGACCTATGAGGGAGCAGATGAGCACAAATTTAAAGTCAAAGGCAGTCGTAGACAGGCTTTCTTTGCATTAGCTGGTTCAACAAAAATCTGAAATCCAGGCAGAGATGACGGGTGTCACAGCAGCGTTTCTGATTGAGGCAGCTCAGGACGAGCTCGTGTAACAGGGGGTGCTTGGCGTGTGATTTCACTCGTCTTCCTCACAAAAATTGATTAATTGCTGCCTACTTTAGAGATATTATCACAGAAACGGACAGATATTCACAAAAGACAGGCTATAAAAATTCTAATTGTAAAAGCCAATGATGCTGCAAATAAGAGATCTGTGTTGTAGAAAATGTGAATTCATAACTTAATATTTGTTTTTTCAGTGGCTCTTAGTGCTGCCATTTGTCTGTCACATATTCTAGCATATTAGAGCTGATGGATTTAAACACTGGTGCATTCAGGACTGACCGTGTCTCAAAACCTAATGACAGAGATGTTGAAATCATGTTAGTTTCTACCCAAATTAAAGCAAAATTGACTCTTTTCTATTCTGTGTTATATATTAGCTGTGGTAGCAGATCACGATTAGGCATGAAAACATGTGCATGGCCAGCTGAATGCACGAAAAGTTCCTGTGATCATGCATTTTTGCATTTTTCACTGCTGTAACTTCACAGCCTCCTGTGATACTAGTGAGACACAGCTGATCCAGGGTTCTTTTGCAAAATGTTTTCCTTCAACAGAAAATCTATATTGCACTTACAGCTTAGTGTAAAGAACCAGTGAAGTTGAAGGCAGTTCTAAATGTAAAAGAAAGTCCAGCTCAGTATTAGCAGGGCGTACAGTACTGTGCGAAAGTGTTTCGCCATGTTGGAAAAACACTTTAGCTGAATCTACAAAAATGATAAAGATAACAGTTTGATATGCTTTTTTTAAACCAACAAGGTGATTCTTAAAGCACGATTAGATGAAAATCTGGCAAATTTCAGCAAGATGACAAAAGAAGGGCAGTTATGGATTGGCCTCTACAGAAGCCAGAGCCCAACTTGACAGAGAACGGAACAAAATGCTGTCAACATCCAAAGAAGAGCTTCGAATGTCCTTCGAGAAACATGGAGAACTATTCCTGGACACCGCTTAAAGAAATTAGAAGAAAGCTGCCTAAGAGAGCTCAGGTTGTGTTGAGGAAAAAATGTCACACAAATGTAGACTTTCAAGCTCATTAGAATTGTAGAAACTCTGTTTTTGCCTGTTTTCCGTATTTCCATGTATGTTTGCACATTTCAATAAACCTTTCCACCCATTTCCCCAGCAAACTATAAAAAATGAAGACTTTTGCACACTACTGTAAGTTACCGTGGTGATCGAGGCAGGTTTAAATAAAATAGATTTACCTGGCTTCATACTATTGGGTACAGTTTCCAGTATTTAGCAGAGATATAAACGAAGTAGACCAAATGTGTAATAAGCTGACACCTAATCTGGCTCCTCCTGCAGCACTGTTGATCTTACCTTTGAAACCTTTCCTGCGTTTTGTTGTTAGACTGTAGCTGCTCATTGGCTGAATTCTCCGATTTGAGTGTCTGACGTGTGCTCGTTTGTTCCCGTTCACAGCTGTGGAAGATCAAATCATGACAGTGGACTGAGAAACGGCGTCGACACTTCACTCTCACTGACTGGCTGAACCGCTCGTCTGACTGGCCCGACCCACCGAGAGACCGAGCCTCAGCTTCGACATATCAGAGTGCTTTGACCTTCAACGTTTCCACTTTGTGCAATTCACAGACTATTTATTTACCCATTCAGTGTTTATACCTAGGCTTTATTTGAATTCTAGTTTCTTTCATGTTTTTGTGTTTTGTGACACAAAGTTCGGTTTTTACCTGTCAACAAAAGTGTTATGAGTGTTTCCCCTAGGTTACCGCTTTGGAGGGGAGACTTCTCGCTTGTTTGTTTGTTTTCCTCCCCCCCTGCTCTAAAGCAAATCTCCCCTGTCGTTTTAGACGGATCAAGACTTGTAGGGATGCTTTTTGCATTTACACACATGAAGTTGGCTTCAACAGGAGTAACGTTATCTTCACAAACAAAACAAAAACACAGTAGTGTGCTCCCCCGCCCACATTATTTTTTTTCCTCTTGCCCCCCCGAGTTGTTGGTAGGGGGAACGCTGTGTGAACATAAATTATTATTAAGTGATGGTTGAGGTTCTCAGCTCGATCTGCAGCTTTTCATTTTAACTCATTTGCAGGCAAAAATATTTTATTGTATTTTTTCCTTTTTTCTTTTTTTTTTTTGCTTAAACTGAATGTTATTTATATGTTGAGTTTCAAAACAAAACAGATTTTAAAAAAGCAAACGTTAGTCCAGTGGTTTTATTCAAACAAACTGAGTTCGTCAAACATTTTTTAATTTTATTACAAACAAATACTGAAGGTGTAACATGTTCTTTAAGATAGAGTAAATGCTCCACACGGACAACTTTAGATCAAGCTGCTAACTGGTTTGGTGAAGAAATTTGCTGGTGTCTTGCACCTGTTCACACTCAAGCCACATGCAAATATCTCTTAAGGGAAGTTAACAGTTCCATTCTCCAGGTATTTAAAAGCAAAACAAAACTAGAGAGCAGATGACATTTACCAAAACCAAAAGGAACAGAAGCGACACGGCCGCAGACGTGTGAACAGAAAGAAGACTGAACATGTCTACAATTATTCTTCACTATTAGACGGCATGACCTGAAGCAAGACCCCTTTCAATTTTTGCTCGAGTTTAATATTACGAGCCGCATCAGTGGTTTCAGGAGCATTTCCAGCAATACGCGAGTAGATGGTAACACTTCCCTCAGAGAGCTGACACAGCATCTACTGTGTCCATTAAATTTGCAGGTAAACTGGTTTCAAACGGCTCGACGGTGTCGCCTGTCAGCTTTCTTTGTTCAGAACACATGCAAAGCCACGTGTGGCTATTTCCCAAATGGTCACATGAGAAACACTGTCGTGGAGGGCTGCACCAATAAACTGAACTCAAGTGTCTGCTCAATATTTTCTCTCTTTAAGCTGCAATTGATAAGAGTAGATGTTACAATTAGGCAATAAAAATGTGAAATGGGGATAGTAGAAAGGCCAACATTTTATTGTTATTTGATTTCAACATTCCCCAAAACTGTGAAAATAAGTCTAAAGTTATACAAAGTGCTACTGCTACTTTGCTGGTAGTTTAATGGAGCTTTTCAGTTCTTGTTTCTTGTTCATTGAGAGAGATCCAGTCGGTTTTGGGCCTAAACAAGTGCATTAAAGTCAGATTCAGTATCTGATATTTATTTATTTTAACACTTTGCCCAGACTGAGCCACCTGGCAGCTGTGTGGTAGCTATGTCACCATCTTCAGTCTCACGCTCCTCTGAAAGTAGAACAAACCATTTTAGTTGCAACATCAACAAAAATTAACTGACAGAAATACCACTTTCAGTTCTGGGTTCATTTCAGTCATTTAATGTTGCATCTGCTTTTAGACAACGACAGCAGTTGTTAGACCCCATCAGCTCGAGCCTATCCAAGCATGCGTTGCTGCCCCATTTTCTAATGTTTTCCTTCCGTTCTTTTACGGACAAAAATTAGTAACTAGTCTCTAGACTATGAGACGACACATCTCATCCAGGCCCAAAGAGGAAAAGTCAAATCTGTCCACTTTGTTTTTCCAACCGAAGCTCTAGACTTCCTGCAGTGTCCTCAGTCCATCTTATTACGGTTCAGCTAGAGAGGGGCACATTCTCCACCAAACATTGACTCTTATTGTTTACTTTTTTTTGGGGGGGCGATATCTCACAAAATCGCAACGCTGGTCTTGACTGCTCCATCCCTGGATGTGTAGATTTGTAAAAAGTCAAGTTCTTGTATTTCTCTTTATGATTAGTCTTGTAATAGCGATTCAAACATACCAAATGACCACACAGCTTTACCTCTGACTTAAGTTCATATTTAGACAATGATAAATAGCCACATCTCATAAAACATTATCATTTTTATTACCACTGGATTTAGTTGCACACACATGAGTAAAAAAAAAATTTAATTATCATGGGCCACCAATGGTCAGATAATGCCCACATCTGCTCTAATGTATCTTCAACCCGCTAACGTGTCGATTAACAACAGCCAGTAGATGCATCGATTCATTTCTAAGTTGAGGAAAGCTCACTTTGGGCCCCGTCAATAGCTTCTTCCTGTCAATAACCTGTCAATAACGTCAATAACCTTCCTGTGTGGATGCCCTTTAAATACACAGAGATGACTGGACCAACAAAGATTTTTGGTAAATCTCAGACTGAAGTTTTCATGTTAAAATGTGAACTGATAACTGCAACTTCTCTGGATACTTCATATAACAGCATAAAAATAGGTTGCCAAAATGTAACGTGTGTCCAACAGCTCGTTAAGCAGCGCACCTGCATAGCACATGGTTTCATTATCGACTCCCAGTCCCAGATCAAACAGTTTCAGCTGTCCTAGCATGAAGAAAACAATCCCCAAAAAGCAAAATGTTGAATAAATGAAACGGAAACTCGTACTGGAGATCTCTGCCTCTCCCTTCACTCCACCAGGTCAAATCTCAATTAGAAGTTCATTCAGATAATAAAACTGAACCCTAAATAAAGGTGATCACAATCCACTCAGATATTTTATAAACTGACTGGACTTCACATAAAATGCTGTTGAACGCTCAGAGCTCCTTTAGACGTTGGTGTACACGACACTTCGGTGAAGTCTTTCTTGTGTCTGAGTGTGAACAAAGACATGCACTTTAAAAACACGTTCTCAATGGAAGAAAAGTTACTTTGTATCAACAATTTTTTTACATCACTCTGTGTGATACAGTTTGTGTGTGTCTGGTGTTATAGCGAATGCTAGTTCAGCGTGTGTACTGATGATTTGTGTGAATTAAATCCGAAACGGTACGTGAAGTAATGATGCCCACGGAAAAGAAACAAATGGTTGCCTCGGTTCACTGGAACAAGCTTCATTCATAAAAATGCGAGCATAATCATCTTCAGTGTGTTTGAGGAGGAAGACCAAAGTGCTTTTAATTTAACTGTTGTTTTTCTCTGCTGGTTAAAGAATGTATTTATAGCGTTCTGGTTTTAAGAATATTTCCTTTTTGTTCTTTCATCATTTATTTGTACAGGATGTTTGTTCCTCACCCTCTTTAGAAAAGGCATGCTCGACTGTTTTTGTTTTTTAGCAACGAGACTTTTGAATCGTGTATATGAGAGTGAATCTGAGGAAAGGACAGTGTTATGATGCTGTTTTCCAAAAGTCTAAATATTTACTGTTTTTCTTGTGAACTGGTCTTTCAATAAGATCTGTTTTTATATGAATAATTAAAAAAGTGGATGTTAAATCCTTTATTCTTTTGTTGTTTAACTGTTTGTGTTATCCTTTTCCTTCAGTGGTTTAAATATTTATAGTTGCACTTGATCAACTGCTTCTTACGGCAAAAATATCTAATCAATCAACAGATCAGTCATCTCTGAATGTTTCCAGACTCTTAAAGAAATTACAAGGAAAAAAAACTGCCTAAGAGTTCAGACGGTGTTGAAGAATAAAGGTGCTCATACCAAATATTCACCTTCAAGCTTGTCAATTCCATTTTTGCCTTACTGTTGCCGTGTATGTGTGCACGTTTCAAGAAATCACAGCACCCATTTCCTAATTTCCTAGCAAAATATAGAAAGATGATGGATCCATCAAGACTTTTGCACTTTTATACTTAAAATGCATTTTAAACACACATTAAATTTAAAAAATAAGGAAAATTATTCATAAGAAAAAATTTGCAACTGCAGGTTTTCTGACTGACAGACTGAGCAAGCTGGATAGCATAGTGGTAAGACTACACGCTTTATATTGACATGTATGGAATCTTTCATACCCAACACCCAAGTGTGGGTAGAAGGATTGTAAATCATCTACAATCTAATATTTTAAAACTTGGAACTCAGCTGCAGCTTGAGTAAAGTGTTAACTAACAGGAAACAAGGAGGTTATGTGATGCAATCTCAGTGTTGTGTATATAATAACACCTCCAAGACAAAGTGACTGCTTCAAAAACCTTTTTATTAGAACAATACAGCAGATATAAAGGTCTATTGCAATCAAACACTTCCACCAGAGCGAACTGTGTGCTTCAGACAGTATGCCCTCCCCGAGAGAAATAATTTAATATAAACTAGAGAAAAGAAAAAAGAAACAGAAAAAAAATGGAGATGAAAACAAAAAATTCTTCTTGCGATGCAAAGACGATCGATCAACTTTCTTTTTACTTGCACACCTAAAAGTTTACACATCCCCAGAAACACAAGCTCACAAGTGTTTTATTGTGCAAGTTGTAAGATTTTGGTATAAACTTGAAAGTTCATCTCGTGTTAATTAATCATGAGCCCTTTAAGTCGGAACGTTTGGAGGGAGGAACGTTTTGGCCCTCGCCAAACGAAACGAAACAATGAAGCAAACAAAAGAAAAGAAACACGTAAAATTAAAGCTTGAAATGCAATAACAGCAGTGAACAAACGAAAATGCAATCCACAAAAGAAAGAAAGAAAATTGTTTTCATTTTAGTTTTAAATATTTGTGGTCTGTGGACATAAATCTCATCAAGAATCATGTTTGAGGAGCAGAAACTAACGATTCCAGTTTTACCTAATTCTGGGGCCGTGTTTACAAAAATATTGTGAAAAGTATCATTTATGCGTTTCAATAAATCATTTAAGGAAATATTAGAAAAAATAAACATATAGTGGTGGAGCAAAAATAAGCTTTAGGTTGAATTCAATCAGAGAAAGAAGATGCTACATATTTAGATAACTCATGAATATATAATCATAGTTTTTGATGTTAAGACGAAATCCGTGTTGCTCGCCGTTTGTAAGGTTTTCACACCTGTAAGTGACTCCCGTGTCGCCACTGGAGACGGCGTACTATGTTTTGATAGGATTTGGATGTTGCGCCAATAAATTTTCTCTAAAACCTCCCCCACCTCGTGTCCTTACGCAAAAAAAGTTACTTGAAGCGCCTCCCACCGAACACTGGAACAAGCGTAGAATTGACACCTCTCCCCCTCGGCTCTAATTGGTTTACCATCTATCATATTTATTCTTGCCATCATTTTTTGTCATTTTTTTAAATATATATTTCTTACAAATCTATAACCCAAAGTTTAGAAATCTTATTTACATGGAAAAGTTGTTATTTTTGTTTGGTTTTTGTTGTTTTTTAAATTTTAAAAGTGACTATTAACCCTTTTGTCCGCATTTGCAAAGCTTCACAATGAGAGAAAGAATCAATTTTGCACTCAATTCTTTCCCCCCCCC